GTTACATCCGAGCTTAGCCCTTCCATACTTGTTTTTTTTAAGTAAGCTTTATGCTTCGGTAGTCCTTTTTATGGCAAGGCTTACTCAAGTGGAAACTTGTTGAAAATTATCCGAATCATAAGCTTTTGATTTTTAATGCAACTACGCGTGTCCACATATAAAGAAACTTGCTGTGGTGAGTTTATGTTTGTATTTATATACGAGTAATTTGCGAGTGTTTCTATAATAAAATTCATTTTATTATCACGCACTGGGCGCTTTGCGAAGACGTCTTGTTGTATTAAAACCTCCTTCTTTTTCAAGTTCTATACAAATTGTTGATTGAGTTGTTCCAGCAGTATTAAGATGTTGTTCTTGAAGTAAACTTCTTTTATTTTCATTAATTCTAAACATTTGTGTATGTTTATCAAAATACATGCGAAATTAATAACCAATGGTAAAGTAAAATAGAATGAAGGAAAATTTCATGCCATATTCTCTATTTCTGCAATTGAAATGTTCAGTACATGGTATAAAAAGCATTCGAAAAAGAGCGGAAGTTCAAGTATACAAGTTCAGCAATGAACTACTTACGGTCTTTTTGATTTTAAACATCAAAGGATCTCAAAAACTTAGCGGACTTGAGAGGCGCCGACCGTGAATATCTTGGATGCTCTTTTTTTATACTTGAACCAGCAGCTCGGTTTAACTTTTGCTAATTGTATCATAATATTTACTTAGTCTTACCATAGATTAAGTCACAATACATACTTCGATGACAAATTCGCACAAAAAAAAGTGACGATATTTATACTTTTTCAATATCTTGCTATAATAGTTTTGTTCACCTAGCGGTTGTTTGTATTACCTAAAAGTAATAGAGATAGATATAGGTTTATACTTGTATATATTTACATATATAAATTATCAGGATGACGAGACGAGTAGAAATCCGAAAGTCTGTCTATCCGTCCGTCTGTATGTGCAAACTGTAACTTGAGTAAAAATTAAGATATCGTAACAAAACTTGGTACACATGTAATAATTGAAAAACTATAAAGTGCCACAACTAAGTTGTAATTTAATATATAAACCTGTAATTTGGCACAGGGCATGGCCATGCCCTCTAAGCGATTTAACGTACATATCTCTTAAGCCATTCAAGCTATTATACCCGAATGAGCTCAGAACAAATGCCTTTACCAACTGTATCTATGAACTGACACTATGAAAATGGATGATCGAATTATAACCCCGCCTACTCTTCATATAACGCTTCTGCTAAAAATTACTAAAAGCTCGATAGTTCACTAAATAAATGTGTCAGAAACATAAAACTTTCCATCCGAGAATACCCAACCGGAGTACAACTCCGCTTACATCATAAATAACACAGTTTTAAATTCAATCTGATTATTTCACTTACCAGTATGCAAATCAAACAGAAATGAATGTATGGGGATAAAACTTTGCCCAATTAGTGCGCTTAAAGTAGGCCACCTTATGACCAAAATTTATTAAAATCGGACTACAAGTGCTAAAGCCCTCAGATACCGAATATGTGGACCACAGTTCCTTTTGACGAATATGTCGTTTAGTGTGTGAGTTTTATATTTATAAAATTGCTTGAACATATATCCTCAGTATACCCGAGCAATGCCAAAGTTAATGCAATCAGCGCATCCCTTTCGCTGCGCCCAATATAGCTAATATAATGATTTCTGACTTACCACCTAACTTCAAGCCGTTTAGTTGGTCAATACGTGTGATTTTGACATGAAATCAAATGAACAAGTTTCCTTAAAAATTACGTGGTTTACCACTGAATATGAATGGAATTGGGGTAGGCCTTGATCTAAACCTCATATCCCTAATATAAAGAATCTCGATATTTTGGTTGACGTTTTCCACATCAACTCAATATATTAAATTTAGCCTCTTCGGTTGAGTTTATATCACAACCATATATGTATCTTAATTGAAGTTGTTTTTAATATAAATTTCCTTGACGCGATTAAAATATATTAATAAAACTAAGTGAGTACATGAGCTTCAGTATAACTAATATGATAAAAAATTTGATTGTTATCCATTTCGCAACATTTTTTAATATAATATAACGTTTTGCCAGAACCTATAAGTATTTCTTTTGATAAAATGTTCGGTTCCACCCGAACTTAGTCCTTCTTTACTTGTTTTATGTAAAGTTTTGGCTTTGATTTTTACAAGTTGTAAGCTGCTGTAATAGTTTGGTTGGGAGTCTCCCGTAAAGGCTTTACACCTTCAGTCCAAATTTAAATCCATCAGACTCCAGTTTGTGGTCCGAATTGGAGAGCATAGCCTGTAGTTTACCCCACAGAAATTTGAAGAGTCTCAAAAAATATTTGGTTCGAGCAGCGCCGTGAACACCAATAGAAAATGTGCGCTATATGTCAATGGTATAATCGTTTGACAACTTGTGTGAATGTAAAAGCTGACCATTTCGAATAATGTTCTGTACATTGCTCATTAAATGTATGCATTTTTAAACAAAATGAACTTTATTAAAAATGTAATATATATTTTTTTTATAACGGCTTGAACTTGTAACAGAACTTATGTCAGGACTAAGTACGAGTATATTGCCGTCCTTCATAATAAGTATATATATAACCGTAAAAAAAGTACGATTTCATACTCAAACTCAATGACCTTTCTAAAAAAAGTGCTCGAAACATCAAAACTTCCGTTTCCGGAGTCTTTTCATTTCTGCTTTGCAGAATAATTCGAACCTGATTTTTCGCGAAAGCGTCAAAATTTTGAGAAAGATGGAAGGCATCAGTGTAGATTTTATAAATAAAAAAATAGCTTTAAAAATCAAAATACATATAATATAATTTATTTGTTAAAAAAGTTGGAATCCAGGTACCTTTACCCGAATATAAGTTTGGACATATAGTGCATTCGCGACGACCCGTCCAAATGTGGTCGAAGGCGAGCAATAGTTTTTAAGGCTCTCAGGTACCGGTTGACTTTATATCAATATCTATAATATTTCTTTAAACACTTATTTGGACGTGTTTTCTTCGCAACATCGTAGTTTAGCGTTAACATCTGAAAATATTTCCTCATCTTTAATCTTTGTGTACATACGTACTTTCGTACATACAAATAAAATTTATAGGTCAATTAAATTTAGAAACATGCACACCCTTCCTTTTTCGTGAACATTTCCGGCAGATGTATTGCTCGAAGTGCGGTATATAAAGGGGTCCGTACAAGGACACGCGGAAAGTGGCGGCTTTTTCACTGGTCACATACCGGCTAGGGATAGGTGGATGGGAGGAGTCGCTGGAGAAGAGGCGCGGTGAGATTTTCACGGACGGGTCGAAGCTAGGAGGGAAGATTGGTGGGGGAATTTTCTGTAAGAAGCTCTCCGTCAATCTTAGCTTAATGCTACCGGTACACTGTAGTGTTCTTCAGGCAGAAGCGGTTGCGGTAGACGTACTACTAGCTCCTACCCGACTGCGAGATCCTTTTGGTCTAGAGCAGAACACAGGAGATCTACTGAACTACTTGCCTTTAGCAAAGTTCAGCTTGCCGCAATCGCATGGGTTTTTTCTGGGCACTGTCCAAAAGATATTCATGCGGTAAGGCTTAAAATCTTGTCGGACGCTAGTTGTAAAAGTTGTATGGAGAAGGGTGAGGTGGAAACATCCAGGAACTTTCTTCTCCATTGTCCAGCCTTTGCAAGACTGACGCTGGAACTTGATAGGCTTAGCTTCAGCAAACCAGAAGACAAGCCGAAACTGTCCTAGTAAGATCCCTCTTAGGATCGACCTAAGATTAACCTAAACTAGCCTAATAACATTTCTTTTCTACAAGCCAACTGAATATTTTTAACCAGTCCCTAAAAAATTTTCCCTTTGAAGGTCAGGCGAGCATTCATCACAACATTGTAAACTTGTCAATTGATTCCTCTTGAAAGGAAGAACTATGAATAGTTTGTGCTATGAAGAGTTATAGAAGGTCGAAAAATTCAATAAAACTTTCTCTTCTGCTGCCCACACTTCAATTATTGTGAAATAATATTATATACCAAATTCTGTCATTTGCGAAGAAATACTTACATACACATTAGAGTTTCTTAAATTTTCGCTCTCTTTGATAAATAATTTATTCATACACAAGTTCAATAAACTCATATGTACTTCTTGTGTGTATATTAGATTGAACCCATATATACACTATAAACCAGCAAACAAGTATTATAGGCATATGACATCTCAGGAGAGGTATAACAAACAGGCTTTCATCGTTTGTCAGGTCCCAAATCTAGTGTGTTGGTTGATTTGCCTAAGTTTATCAAATTTGCCTGCTGACTGTAATACAGGTATGAGTAACATCAAGCAGGACGAATGTCTGGTGTGCATTTATGGACCTGGTGCTGCTGGCTATCAAAATTATTCACGCCATGCAAGATTCAGTTGGCATGCAAAGAAAGATGCAGGAAACCAAAAATAAGTACATGTCTCACGGTGAACCTGAACTTAAACGTTACCGGGTGTTTCCTGTCCTGTGGTTATAGCGCCTACGAGTATATGGTATTTTACTACCGCGTAGCAATTGATTCCTCTTGAAAGGAAGAACTATGAATAGTTAGTGCTATGAAGAGTTATAGAAGGTCGAAATCGTGAAAAAATTGTCGATTTGGAAGAATAAAAAAGCACTATTTCAACAAGACAATTCACCCTGTCACAAATCGATTAAAGCGATTCGGATGTTTTCAGCATATTCCGGATGTGGTCGCCATCGAAATTTTCTTGCCCTCAGATCTTAAGAAAACCGCTCGGGATATAATTTAACGACAACGAAAAAATAAAGATACTACTTGTAGATTGAAGCAGAAGACCTTACTATGAAATGAATATGGAAAATTAGATATGTACATACTCGTATGTTGCATAATAATAAAGAATTTTGTCAAAATTTTGACTGCCTAGTTACTTTGATTATTTCATAAAATAAAACGCAAAATTTTAGTTTCACTTTACATTTATTACATAATGTTCAAAATTGACTAAATTATTATTTCAAAATTTTATCCTTTGGTTTCGTTTACATTTAGTACGTCACTTAATTATTTACATACATAGATTTAGATTTTGATAAGGTTGTCGTATACATATTTGCCTATAAAAGTAGGGATACAAATATATATTTACCTACATACATTTCGTTTTAAATACGTAAGCAGCAGTACAGTTATTTCTTATCATTTCAACACCGCACCTATTTGGGTAAGTATGTAATTGTGTCTAGATTTTTTTGGTTTTCGAAAGACTAGCAAATATGTGTCTGATTTTCGGGTTACTTATGTATGTATTGTAGTAATTGTAAGCTTTGAAGAAAGAATAGCAAATTGAACAGAACCTTAAGGCGTTTACGTTTTTCAATTACACATACATACTCATTTACAATCATATTAATATCGTTTAAAAAAACTTACATAAATACTCGTATGCTTAAGTGTGCGTAAATGCATTTAGATTAGGTTTTCGACAAGGACAACGCCTTCAGGATATCCATTGGGAAAACTTCATTTTCGGTTTAATGACAATAAAAGCACATTTAATTTAAAAGCTAAGCTGTGCTTTTGCTTTAGATAACGGCTTTTAGGCATTAAATTTATTTTTATATACTATCTAAAATTGTTCCTGGTTTCAGGTTTATCTATGTATGTACATACTTGCTTATAATGTGTGTAGGGAATGCCGTAACAAAACCATAAAAGCACACAATTGTTTGTATGTATGTTTTTGTAAGCATGTGTGTGTTTTGTATAGCTAAATTAAATTGTAAATCTGTTTGCAGCTTCTGCTATCTGCTTCTGCCTGCCACGCATTTTCGACTGAGCTAAGCCTATCCTTGTACGTTTATATGAATACATGTGCGTGTGTGTGTATATTGATTCGCAATTTCCATCACACGAATTGCGTTGTGTTAATGGGCGGTTGAAGCTTCGCTCTTGTTGGCGGTGCGGTGACATGCGACTGGCTCCATCTATGGGCCTGGCACTACCGCAACACTGTGGCCTCCGCACATGAAAATTGACTCTACAATGAGAATAGGATAAATGTTAGTGGTGCGTTTAAACTTCGAAAATATGTCAAAAGTTATGCGTCGGTGAAAACTTAGAATACTATTATTAACCTACCTAGTTTGGATATGTCTGTGTTGTTAACTGTTGCGTGTAGGCTTTATGTGTGAATATTGTAAGTATGTGGGTGTGCATATGTAAAATGTGTCAAATCCAAAGACAATTCTAAATTGGTAATAAAAACTTTCCTGACACTAACTGAGAGTTATTTATTTATATTTTAGAGCCGCCCCGCTTCTTTTATTTCTAACACAGCTGACATTGCATACTTTTAGGCAGCGTGCGTGCTTTTGGTTTATATGGTAATTCCCAGTAGGAAAAGCAATAGCCAGATGGTTTTGTCAATATTCTCTTAAAACTTCAAATTTAAGGATAATTTGCAAAAGGCTAGGACGAAGAGATAAATAATATTAGTTCAAGTATAATTCCAGCGAAAAAGTTTTTCTTCCTCGTAGAAGTTAAAGGTTATAAGAAGGCTTTTTCCAAACAAAAATATAATAATTTATATTCAACTCCCTTGAAATAACTTTTCATAGCAGTTTCTTATCCGTGATTAGTGATTTCTTCGCCTCTACTCAGGCAATCTCAATCTAAGGAGTGTTTTTTAAATGTTATTTTATTTAAAAGTGCTGTGGGTTTCCATAATAATGCAGAAATTCACAAAGGAGAACGTTATATTGCTTAAATTTTGCTTTCTCTTGATTTTTGCTTATTTTTCTTCTTCCTCCCTGATTAAATTGGTGATGACAATTCGAAACCCTACTGAATGCAATATACTAATATGTAGCTTTGTATGATACCAATTGTCGAAGTTTTGTGTAAAGAGGGCAGGTAGAACCGTCTCAGCACAGTGCTTAGGTATGTTCGGCTTTCGCAAAAAACATGCTAAATATTATAGCTTCAGTTAAATTAAAAATAGTCGTATCATCGGATTTGTGATATGCTCGAGGCTCTTTGTCGATAAATGAGGGTTTGGTCCATCTTCAGTAGTACTTTTTTGGTAATGGGTGGGGCCCTTCATATTAAACGCAAACATTCGAACAACAAGCCATTACCATTGCATCCTTTGATTTGCACTTTGCCGAACTAATCGAACTCTTAATCATTTCATCATATGCAAAATTTGACAGTGTTAACGCCTAAAAGTCCACAAAACTTTCCTAGACTTTAGTCTACAAGCATTGTCTATAAGAATTTTGTAATTTCTACGTTACTGTCAGATATGGGTGTAAGATTGCGCATAAAGAGAGGATTATGATATATGAAAGTAGGAAAGTTATTCGACTTTAAATTTCAAGGCTTTCATTGTTCCGTTGAATATACTGGTTTCAAGATAAACGAATCTGATTAAAAATTTAAGAGTGATTTGTTGGTTAAACAGGAGTTTCCAACTTAGAGAAAGCGTAAATTACAGTATACCTATATAACATACGTCATCATACGCATGTTGTTCTCTTATAAAGTAATATACCTGAATTGTTCACTTTAGTTTGTTTGACCAAAGTATTTTTTACAAAATTAAAGAAATCGCTGGACAGTTTCTTTAAAAACGTGTGTGAATTCCTGCGAAAATCAGGTATTCAAAAACTTTGAGATTTGCCAGAAATATTTCTAAACTGTTATGCCGTGTTTTATAATGGCCTATAATGATTTCGCCTAGTTAATGATCTGCATTGCAGTTTCTGGATCTCGTTGGCCGTCCTTGGTCTATATGAAATGGGCACGATTTCCGTACCCTTGAAACTCTATTGAAGACTCTTGTCCATTCTGTTTCCAATAATTTCAGCTCAAAACTATTATAAGTTCTAACTGCCCTTATGCTTTCTTTCTTTACTACTACGTTTGTTTGTGTGCTGTGTTGTTTTGTATTAAGGTTCCCAGTTTAGATTTAGTCCGATTGTTAGACACTTACCATTTGCATAGAATTCGTTCGGAGTTTTTTCCGAGTGCTGATGTATGTAGTTGATGTGTTTACCCGTTGCAAGTGGAATGTGTCGTCCGTGCCTATATTAGGGTGGTAAAAAAAAAAAAAAATTGAAAACATTTTCTACAAAATTTCTAAAACGTTGGCCATCTTAACGAATTTGCTCAACCGAATTGAACTACTTGTATTTCATACATTCGCCCTAATTAGCGTGTGTGAGTAGTAGACCAATAACATTATAATTTCCCATTTAATAATTTTAAGTTTATTTAAATAAGTTCATATAAATAAGGCGGAGGAGTGAGGAGGACATGCAGTGCAAGGTAATAAATTAATTATGTTTTTACCAAAGCATTTATAAAACTTGAGAACTCAAAGACACGGTCTCTACGGTGTGTTTTGATAGGTCGAACTCAAGTTTAAAGTTGCCTATGAAAATTGATAAATTTTGAAGAGTACACAAATTTAAATAAGTTTCCTAAGCAAATCAAATCCAAATAGAATTTACAAAAATTATCTGAAGATAAAGTAACTCAATACTTTTGATTTGACCTATATCGAAATTGAAATTCCACTCTTTATATCCTAGCGCAAATGTTTACACTGTTTATCATAGTTTTACGCACCTAAAAGACGTTGACGGATTCGTCTGTAACTTCTTGCCATATAAAAACCGGACATATACATAAGTCCAAAAGTAGTTTATGAAGTACATTATTGTAACGTGGGAACAAAAGTAAGTCAAAAATTTACTTCTGGGACACATAGCCAACAACTTATCGCTCTCTATACCTCAGTAGTTAAAAACTCACAATAAGCTGCACTTTCCTAGTGATAGCTAATCATATATTGTTAAAAAAATAACATTCTAGGTGGAACTTGGTTAGTTACGATAAATGGATAAAATTTTGAAATCAGAACTAAGGTAATTAAGCTATTTCTCAATTTAATAGAAAAGCTACATCATCCTAAAATATTGTTAATATTATTTCTTTGTTTCAATTTTAATTATTTGAAGTCAATCAAACTCATTCAGAATACTTCGCATTTAATTTTGGCTATCTTTCATTTTCATTATCTCTTTTCTACATGTTGCACGGATTATAGAAATAATTCTGGCATTATTTTAGTAAATTCTCAGGCAATAGACACATTCTCTAAAACGCACATATGTTTGTATCTGCGCAAAAATGTTTCGGGCTCAGAATCAAGCATGCAGTGCAGCTAAAAGCTAAGTATTCGCAGAAGTATTGTTTTCTATAGAAATAATATCTGTTTAAAAAAGTAAGTAAGGACCAAGTTCAACTTGCAAGGATCAAAACCTGGGAAATTACTTCAGGTTAAAGGAAGTATTGATCCGATTCAACCTATTTGTGACACAAAGACATACTTGTATCAAGAGTTTCATTTATTTATTTTAATATAAGAATTTCAATTATATATCTTACACATTGGTGTCCACATATTCAGTACCTAGGGGCTTGAACAGTTTTGGTTTGATTTAGACAATTTTTGGTCACAAGGAAAGTTTTATCATTGTTGCTTGATTTGCATAGTGGAAAGTGAAAGTATCAGATGGAATTTAAAATGGTGTTATACGGGAAATAGGAGTGGTTGTAATCCGATTTCGTCCATTTTCGCACAAAAACATAGAAATAAAATGTTATGTACCGAATTTGGTTGAAATCGGTTAAGCAGATCCCAAGATATGGGGTTTCATCTAACGGTGGGCGGTATCGCGCTTTTAGTAATTTTTAACAGTACCGTTATAAGGGGAGTGGACGGAGTTGCCACCTAATTTCACCAATTTTCACACTGTCAATAGTTAGCACCTCTATTTGTTCTTAGAGAATTTGGTTATTATAGCTTAAGCGGCTTAGGAGATATGCACATTAAACCTATTAGGCGGCGGTACCACGCCCACTTTAAAAAAAAAATGTTAACCACAGATGCCCCTCCCTAATGTGATCCTCTATACAAAATAGCAGTCTTGTATCTTATTGGGGAGTTTAGTTATGGCAATTTATTCGTTTTTGATTAATGGCGTTTTGTGGGCGTGGCAGTGGTCCGATTACGCCCATATGCAATATAGATTGTCTTACGGTACCAATTTCAACTTGTCTCTTCATTCCCGGATCATCTTGTCTCTTCATTCTGATCATTTATATATACAATTATATAACCATGTATCTAACTCGATTAGTTTTAGGTGATACAAACAATAGTTAGGTGAACGAAACTATTATATTCTGTAGCAACAGGTTGCGAGAGTATAAATGTTGAGTCGATGTGGAAAGCGTCGACCAGAGGATTGGAATTCATTATATCTCACAAATTGGACAACATATTCGATTTAGAATAACGAAAATCATTATAAGTAGTGGTTATTGATCCAATTTGATAAATTTTTACTTATACCACATAATACTAATACGTCATAGCCTAATTAAATGCTCCCAATGTTTCATTAAGGTAAAGTCACCCGGAAGCTCGAAAATCTTTATATTGGGTACATGGGGGCTAAAGGACGTATTGACCCCATTCACCCCATTTTTGACATACATACTATTATCAGGAAAGGATCCTATCTGAAATTCAAATATATATCTTACACCGTGACCTATATTTTTGGTCATAAGGAAGCATATTTTAAAGGCATTATTGGTGCAATTTTTTATTCCGATACATAAATTTTTGCTTGATTTGCATATTAAAAGTAAAAGAACCAAATGGAATTTAAAATTGTGGTATATGGGAAGTGTGCATGGTTATACTCATCTCTTAATCTTGATCATTTATATATATATTAACTCGATTGGGTGATAAAAACAACCTAAAATTACTAATAAGTAGGGTATGAATGAGTTTGAGCGAAAACTGGTATATTCGATTTACATATTTGAAATGGGTGTGATGTGACATGGTTTTGCTCAACTCATAATGGAAGTGAGGTCTATATTTGCCTATCATGAAAATAGGTTTCGACACATAAAAATTTCAAAGATTTGCATTGCTTAAGATAAATAATTATTAAAATAAGTAGTTTCGGGATAAAAGTTGGCTAAAGTTGGCAGTAGTGTAAACTTGAACGAATATTTAGCTTTATTTTGGTCTATCACTTACTTTTGGGAACAATTTCGGTCGATTTCAATGTTTTCCAAAATTTTTAGTTAAAAAAGTGATATAGTAGCTTTAAACATTATTGTTCAAGTTGAGTTTTTTGAGCCCCGGAAATGTCCTAAATTCTACTATTTTGAGTTTTCCAAATTATTTATCTAGCATTTTAAAAGTAATTATAGTTAAAAGTTATTTTGAATGATTTTCCACGGACATAATCAGCTATAAATTTCTGAACATGCCGTCCAGTAACGTCACTGGATACAAAGAAAAAATAAATCTCCAAAGCGAAGTTGAATACGGTAATTCTAAAAACACAAAACATTCAATGATACTTAAAGTAAAAAATGGTGTTCGATTTACATAAATTTCTAGCGAAAATAAACCACAGCGCACGGTAAACAATTTTGAGAAAAAAAATTAAAAGTGCAGCAAGAAAAGTTAAGGAAAGACAGTAAAAAACGGAAAAGACCAAAATATGGTGGCACCTAATGCGAATTTTAGGTTTCCTCAACAGACCTCCACCATTACCAGCATTGAATTTGAAGGTCATCTCACCGGTAGCATCGTAATTTCGCTCGCCTCGATTATGCAAATAACGACGCAGGCAACAACAACGTCGCAAACCTGGCACACGGTAAATAATCTGCAGGAAACCACCGCGAAAGCGTGCGTTCATATAACAGTAGATGATCGGATTGTAGCAGCTATGTGACATGGCCAACCAGTGGAATGCAAACCAGAAGTAAGGCAACGGCTCCCAGATTTTGAAGGCATCATCGTTGAGTAGAAGCTGCAAAGAGAGAGAGAGTGATTAAATATAATATTCTTTTTTCGAAGGCGCGCACATTTCAGCGCTGTTTAAGAAGCTGGGAAGCGTTTTATATATAAATATTATTTGGATAATTACATGTCTTATAGACTTACCACAAGCACGTTGAAAGGCAGCCAACACATGGTAAAGACGATAACAACCGTCACCATCATTTTAATCATCTGCAAGTAATAAAAAACGGTATATTTGCTAATTATTCGCTGATATAATATAGCTGTGGTTGCAAGCAGTTAGAATTAATTACATAAAATGCATACATGTATTTCTATAAAGTCATTGTTTGTACAATTTATCATTTGCCGTCATGCTGCGGTAACAATAAATTTTATATAAACCAGTAAGGAAGGGCTAGGTTCGGATGTAACCGAACATTTTATACTCTCGCAAAGTCAAATGGTATACTCGTTTGAGATTTCTTTGTGGATTGACTGATATTTTCGGTAGAAGGTCAACTATAGGCACTGGGGTCCACATATTTAGTACTTAGGGGCTTAAACAGTTTTGGTTCGATTTAGACAATTTTTGGCCACAAGGTGGCATACTTTAATCGCCACTCCCACTGTCTAATTTTGAACGCGGTTCCTATAAAGTCATCTCATACCATCCCAGAGATAAAATTTAATGTCTCTGGCGTGTTTAGTGCTTGATTTATCGCGCTTTTAGTAGTTTTTAACAGTACCGTTATATGGGGAGTGGGCGGAGTTGCCACCCGCTTTCAACTATTTTCACACCGTCAATAGAAGTGCTAAAAACATTTGCTTCCAGTGAATTTTGTTATTATAGAATTAGCGGTTTAGGAGATATGCACATTAAACCTATTAGAGGCGGGATAACGCCCACTTTTTAAAAAAAAGTTTTAACTGCAGATGCCCCTCCCTAATGTGATCCTGTGTGCCAAATAACAGTCTTGTATCTTATTGCAGAGCTTAGTTATGGCAAGTTATTTGTTTTTGATTGATGGCGTTTTGTGGGCGTGGCAGTGGTCCCATCTGCAATACCAAACCGTCTCACGGTACCAAGAAACATGTCTACAAGTTTCATAAAGATATCTCAATTTTTACTCAAGTTAGAGCTTGCACGAGACCGGACGGATGGACAGACAGTCACCCGGATTTCAACTCGTCTCTTCATCCTGATCATTATATACATAACCTATATCTAACTCGATTAGTTTTAGGTGATACAAACAACCGTTAGGTGAACAAAACTATTATACTCTGTGGCGACAGGTTGCGAGAGTATAAAAAAGGCGAAATAGCATAATTCATGCAGCCACTTATTGGGTCAAGAAACAATTCATGATTAATTGACGGCAGCATGATCGCCGACATATGAAATGTCAGCTTTGATTATTTTTTACTGTCATTTCGGCGTTCAGTTACCCTCAGGAGTTATTGGACAAACAATGAGGTTTAAGAGTAAAGAAGTTTGGCTTTTTGAAGAAAGTAAAATATCGATTTTTTTCTAATAATCATATTTACACAATAATATCTTTAGCTTAGGTTAGGTATGATATTAACGGTGAACACATTTGTACAATTGCAGAAAAATTCTTTATGGTACCAAAAAGTACTAACAATATTTCAAAAGTCTCGTCTGTCGGCGAAGGCGCCAGGTGACCACAATAAGTCTTTTGCTATTGACAATTGATTCCGATTCGGCCTAATTTATTTGGATTGCTAAAGGTAACCTTAGCTTTCAACAATGGAAGAAAGACTTTTTGGCCATCTTTTTTATTAATATCACTATCTTTATGGTTTTGGGACAGCGGGAGAACAGCGCTTACTTGTAGAACAAGGAGCTCATATCATTCTCATCATCATTTTTCCTATATTGAAACCGGTAGGATTAAACAATATACTACCTTAATCAAATCTCAGATGATAATGGGAATAATCAAACTCTTTCGGGATTGCAAGTAGAATTTTATTTACCAAATCGTATTAGCGAGTTAAAGTAATTTCACTTGCGTATTCATGCCATTTTCTAATATGATTCATCCATGTTTAAGCTTTGGTGTAACGAATATTGAGATTTCTCATCGAATCACTACAGCATATAAATATGGTCACTCAAGTTCAAGGCAACCTTCAAAAGGTTAATGGATTCTATGAGAAGGTTTTCTAACAGATAAAAATCGAAAACTTGCAAG